TTTCATAAATCATTCAACTTGGATAAATTGAGAATGTGGTTGACCTAGTAATTGTTGAAATATAGTAGAGACATTGCAAAACACTGTTCTTAAGTATTTCCTCCTAGACTCATACCTTAGCAAAGGATGAGAATTTTAAATGGAAAAATACCCTAATATAAAAGTGGATACAAGTTAAAATAAGCTGGTGCGTGGGTCCATGGAAATGAGTAAAACTGTGGAGAAGCCAAAAGCAGCACAATACACTTGTCTCTGAGAGTTCTGGTGGCCTACTCCATGGGGAGTTACACTGTCACACCACAGATGGCAACTGTCTGGTTCTGCTTCACGAGGGGGTTTCATGAAAGAAAAATGGACAGTCTCCTCCTGTGTGATATGTTCTTGTTGTTGATTGCCATTGAGTCAAGCACGATTCATAACAACCCTATGAACAAAAGACCTAAAGCCTTTCTGTAAATAATTCTCAAAGTTCATAGAGTTTCCAGAGGCATGTTGCTTAGGAAGTGGATGCCACTGAGCCTTCAAAAACCTGCTAGAAGGTTAGCTATTTCCAATTCAGTGACAGTAGGCAATAGTGTAGATAGTTCTCTCTTAGTAATTTAGGTTTCCATTGATTTCAAAATTTATAATAATGATAACCCTGCAGAGTTTTCTACTCTACCTTTATATGGTGTTCTTTATATCAAGATCGTGCCTTTACAGTATGGAGAGTTGGGGTTTTTTTGCTGCTTTATAATCATTTACAGTGTAAATGTATATGGTAGGAGATGGATCTATTTAACTGACTTGCTATAATCATTTATGGCTTATTATGTAAGATGGATCTTGATTGAAAGCAAAGAGTATCAGAGGGCTCTCAGACCTTCACTTCCAAGATGACAAAGAAAAGGAGAAACAATGGTCATGCCAAAAATGACCACAGCGTCATGCAGCCTATTCAGTGCAGGAACTGCGCCCCCTGCATGCCCAAAGACAAGGCAGTTAAGAAGTTTGTATTTCAAAATATAGAAAGGCACCTGCCATCAGAGACATTTCCAAAGCGAGTGTCTTCAGTGTGTATGTGCTTCCAAAGTTCTCTGTGAAATTCCACTATTTACTGTGTGAGTTATGTCGTTCACAGCAAGGCGGTAACAAACCATTCTCATGAAATCCAGGACAGAACACCTTCACTCAGATGTAGACCTGTAGGTGCTACCAATGACCACTACCAAAGCCCATGAAAGGATTTGATTCCTTACAGGCTGAAGAAAAAAACTCATCTGGAAATAAAATGGAAATTATAGTTCATAAAAAATTAAAAGAGTACCTGAGGAATGTCTTTGTTTCATTGACTATGCAAAGACATTTAAAATGAATAATGGAAATCCCAGAACACTTGATTGGACCTATACCTAGGCCAAGAAGCAGTTGTCAGAACAGAGCAAGAAAACACAACATGTTTCAAAATTAGGAAGGGATGCATCCTGTCTCCATACCTTTTCAATCTGTGTTCAGAACAGATCATTCCAGAGGCTGGACTTTATGAGAAGGAGTGTGGCATCAGAATTGAAAGAAGATTCATCAACAACCTACATTCTGCAGATGATATAATCTTGCTTGCCAAAACCGAGGAGGACCTGAATTGTTTGCAGGAAAGGATCAAGGACTGTAATCTGTATTATGAATTGAACCTCAGTGTCACGAAGATAAAACTTCTCATCACTGGGCCAATTGGCAGCATCATGATAGATGGAGAAGAGAGTGATTTTGTTAACAATTTCAGCCTACATGGCTCCACAGTTAACACTTTTGGCATTAGTGGTCAGGAAATCAAAAGGTGAATTGCACTGGGAAAATCTGTTGATGGGGACCATTCCAGAGTACTGAGAAGAAAAAATGCCAGTCTAGAGACTAAGGTGTGCCTGATCCAGGCCGTAATCTTTGCAATTACTTGTTATGCATGGTAGAGCTGAACAATGACCAAGGATGACAGAAGAATCGATGTTTATGAGTTGTCCTGGAGAAGAGTATTGCACTTACCATGGATTCCCAAGAGAACAAACAGTTCTGTCTTGGAGAAGGTGAAACCAGATTTCTCCTTGGAGGCTAGGGTTTTGAAGCTCTGCCTCACATACTTTGGGCATGTAGCCAGAAGGTACCAGTCCTTGGAGAAGGACATCATGCTTAGAAGGGTTGAGGGACAGTGCAAGAGAGGAAGATCTTAGATAAGATGGATTGACACAATAACTGGGGCAGTGGGATTAGGTGTTTTGGAATCAGTGAGACTAGCTCAGAATAGGACAGGGTTCAGAGCTATTGTACATAAAATTACAATGAGTCACCAGCAACTGATGGTACATAACAACAACAGCTCAATATATACAGAGATT